TTGGAACAATGGTGAACTTTCCCAGGAGTTGCCGGCCAACCAAAATTACTCCAAGAGCACAACGACGACTCATCCAGGAGGTCATAAAAGAACCCAGAACAGCATCTAAAGAACTGCAGGCCTCACTTGCCTCAATTAAGGTCAGTGTTCATGATTCAACGATAAGAAAGAGACTGGGCAAAAACGGCATCCATGGGAGTGTTCCAAGGCAAAAGCCACTGCTGACCAAAAAGAACACAAAGGCTCTTCTCTCATTTGCCAAAAAATATCTTGATTATCCCCAAGACTTTTGGGCAAATATTCTGTGGACTGATGAGACAAAAGTTTAACTTTTTGGAAGGTGTGTGTCCCGTTACATCTGGCGTAAAACCAACACAGCATTTCATTAAAAGAACATCATACCAACAGTCAAACATGGTGGTGGTAGTGTGATGGTCTGGGGCTGCTTTGCAGCTTCAGGACCTGGACGACTTGCCATAATTGATGGAACCATGAATTCTGCACTCTATCAGAAAATCCTGAAGGAGAATGTCCGGCCATCAGTTTGTGACCTCAAGCTCAAGCGCACTTGGGTTATGCAGCTGGACAATGATCCCAAACACACCAGCAAGTCCATCTCTGAATGGCTCAAGAAAAACTCAATTAAGGTTTTGGAGTGGCCAAATCAAAGTCCGGACTTAAATCTGATTGAGATGCTTAAACAGTCCATTCATGCTCGAAAACCCTCCAATGTGGCTGAATTAAAACAATTCTGCAAAGAAGAGTGGGCCAAAATTCCTCCACAGCGATGTGAAAGACTCATTGCCAGTTATCACAAACACTTGATTGCAGTTGTTGCTGCAAAGCATGGCACAACCAGTTATTAGATTTAGGGGGCAATTACTTTTTCACGTAGGGCCAGGCAGGTTTGGACAGCTTTTTTCCCTTAATAAAAGAAATCATAATTTAAAAACTGCATTTTGTATTTACTTGCATTATCTTTGTGTAATATTAAAATTTGTTTGATGATCTGAATCTTTTAAGTGTGACAAATATGCAAAAAAGTAAAAAAACAGGAAGGGGGCAAAAACCTTTTCACAGCACTGTATATATTTATTTTTTAGAAAATAACAGATTGTTTCTCTAGAAAAGACCCTTATTCCTCAGCTGGGATCCTGCAGAGCCCTTTGAAGCTGCACTGAAACTACAATTTGGACCTTCAACCTGTTGGGTCCCATTGAAGTCCACTATATGGAGAAAAATCCTGAAATGTTTTCCTCAAAAACCCTAATTTCTTTTTGACTGAATAAAGAAAGACATTAACATCTTGGATGACATGGGGGTGAGTAAATTATTTGTTCAAGCCTTTATTTAAGAGAAACATTTAGAAACGTGGCCAGACTTACTTGCACTGTGCATGAAAGTATTTGATGAGATTCTGAAGCAAGTCGACACCTTTCTTGATCTTGATTTCATTGACTTTGAGGAGGTACTGTAACAAAACAATAGAGGAGACTGAAGCACACACACCGCCAAGGAAATGCCTATTACATGATTCTCCAATGAAATGAGTCTCCTCTGACCTCACACATCTGAAGCTGAAAGAAACGGCGCTCCTTCTCCATCTCCTCTGCTATCTCCGCTCCACTGATCTCCGTCCGGATCATTCCGTGCTGTCGGGCATGCTCTTTTTTCTCCTTCTCGATTTTAGAACTGCGTGAAACACACATAGACCACCTTAAAAAAAATTCAGACACACAATCGCAAACACACGAACAGGAAACACTCATGCAGCAGGGCATTCTTTTCCATATGCTCCAGCGGCATTTTGTACCCCCCGTTACGGATGCTGCATTTCCTCTGTGGGGAAGGAGGGCCCTGATCTCAGACACAGGATTCCAGAGAGAGCCTCATGCGTTTGGTTTAGGCCTTTATTCGCTCTTAGCTGAAGCAGGTTGGCCATTTCTGGAACCTCTGCTTTCAGAGTTTAAAGCCTAGCGAGGAGATGTGGTCAAGAGATGGCTGAACGCTAGAAGCCATTTCCAAAAAAAACATTTCTAGTCAGTGAAAGTAGAAAATGAAAAAGTAAAAAAAAAAAAAAGATTGTGATAAAATGCATCAAGCGCGGAATGAAGTGATGTGTTAGCATGAGGAGCTGCCTCTGACAACAATTTTGATTTCTGTATTAGGTTCAGTGTTGGGGAGAAGCAAGACTATTAACTTATAATAAATTTAAAAAATAATAATTGTAATAATTAAATAATTGATAAATAAATAATAATTGAAAATAAAAATGTTATGCATTTCTATCCTCTGCTGAGCACAAAAGAATTGTAGTTAGTCTAATGAAAATCATTGGCTTGATTCCCAACATTCTTCAAAATATCTTGTGATCCACAGAAGAAAAGTTAAAGTTTTGTTACAACATGAGGGTGAGTAAATGATGACTATCTATTATCTTAAAGGGGTCATATGATGCTGCTAAAAATAACATTATTTGGTGTCTTTGGTGTAATGAAATGTGTTTATTGTTTATAATTATGACTTGTTATAGTTTTAATGATTTTTTTATGAGCTTTTTAAATTCAATGAACCATTTCAAAAAGTTGCTTATTTTATTTTATAGGGGAAAAAAAGTTTTTGTTTTAGTGCCAAGCCAAATTGTATGGCTATTTTCATGGCAAAAGCAATAAAATAAATGATATTAATATTACAACCTATTGAACATTATCTTTGACACTATCTTTGATAAAACTCCAAAAAGTGGTGTAGTAAAATCATTGTTTAATGAAATACATTATCCTTCATTTATTTGTTCTCGTTTCATTTTCATATAGTTTTTCAATTACTTTTTTTTTTACTTTTCTAGACTTTTTTTGTTTTAAATTCATTCAAGTCCAAAAATATAACTCTTAGTAATAAGTAAATATGTTAATTAAATATAATTAGCTTTTTGTTGAGATGTCTTTTTTCAGCAGCTTCCCCAATGATTACTTTAGTTATTGCATCTGTACATCTGACAGATGGAAGAAATAAGCCTAAACAGACTCCCTCATGTCAGTACATCACTTCCACCGATGACTGTAAAGAACAGTCCACCATTTTTCACCACAAAGATTGTTCAATTTCAAACCAGTTAAAACAAAAATGGTGGAGTGTTGCTTTCATCTTTGGGAGAAAGAAACACACGCAAACAAATAAGTAAATACACTCTTAAAAATAAAGGTGCTTCAAAAGGTTCTTCAAGCGATGCCATAGAAGAACCATTTTTGGTTCCACAAAGAACCATTCAGTCAAAGGTTCTTTAAAGAACCATCTCTTTCTTACCTTTGTATAATCTGAAGAACCTTATTTCGCTACAAAGAACCTTTTGTGAAACAGAAAGGTTCTTCTGATGTTAAAGGTTCTTTATGGAACCATTTAGACAAAAAGGTTCTTCTATGGCATCGTGAAGCACCTTTATTTTTAAGAGTGTATGAATCGTGATTTGATGTTTCCTGCTGTTAACCTGCTCTCCTGAGGCACCACATAATTTTTACTGTCAGATTCATTGTCTCTTAAACAAACACAGCAAGATCTTCAGCATACTCATTAGCAGGATATTTGCACAAATGAAGCCTGCAGCTCAAACTGCAACTTGCGAGAAAGCTGAAAGCTTTGCACAGACACAGAGATTGAAGTGAACTCAAACTGTAGCGGTGGTGACGATGAAAACCAGTTTAATGGAGTCAGGGCCAGAGTCACGTTAGAGGGCGACTTCGTTTCTTTCTGTCTGGAAACATGAAGGTATCGGTCACAATCAAACCCTGGAGATTATATCCGGCGATGGGGGGTGAAACATGTATTTGACTGAGCAAAACTGCCAATGATGGAAAACAGCAATGATATTAAAAAAGACAGCACCTGGCTTCAACGGTAAATCAATTAATCAAATGACGTGTTATAAGAAAATGTATTACCCTTTCAGTAAAGAATGTCCCTTGCAGCTTGGAAAATATATAAAAAGTGCTACATAAATGTCATACATTGTTGCATGCACAGCAATCAGTGTAATAGCAGAGGATAGGAATACAGGAAGTGAGGTGGTAACAATGACAGTTCATTATCCAGAGTGCTGGGCACCACTGATCCCTCATTTGACTCTCAGGACACTGACATTTGCTTTCAATTTAATTAATTTTCAGACTAAGATTTAAGCAAACATGCATGACAGAAATTAATGAATTCTTTGAAAATCTCTTACACTTTGGTCTCATAGTCTTTCCAGGCTTTATCAAAGGGCTTCTTGAGATCCTGCAAAAGAAAGAGAGAGGATATTCATTAGACAGTCTTGGAGTATGACTCAACTTTCATTTTGACATCTGCAGCTTAACCCAAATACCGGGGGGGGTATGAGCAGAACCAGCCGATTTAGTGTCAGCATAATGTCTGGTCCACACTGCAGATGCAATGCTTAGGTTTGTTTTTCTTCTGAACATCATGATACAGCATTGTCACACAATTCAAAGTTGGCTCATTGGTTGTGTGCTGAATGCATTGAAGAGCATTAACAACATATCACGGATGTCCAGATTTGATGTATCAGCCAGCCAACCAGATTGGAGCTTTTGTTTTGCACAAAAATGGCAAGGTTTGAAGCTTAAGACTAGCAGAAGAGTGGCATAAAATCACCACTCAGATGCCAAGCTCAGTGTACGCCATCACACATGATGTCATGCTCACAAAGAAAGTACCTGATGTAACGCCAGTGCTGTATTCTGTGATGACATCATCTGAAAGCTTCAGGGAAATTCTGCTTGTGCAAACAGAGCGTCCTCCAGCAGCTCTACTGAGGGTTTACTCTAATAACAGAAGGCTGTGATTGTAGAGGGACTTCCTAAGAGTCCTACCAACTCTGTTAATGTGCTTCCATAACAGATGTTGCACACAGCTTGAGGTGTGCTGAAAACAGTCTCATCTGTGCCAGCAATAATGGCTCAGTAAGAGCAGTTTGACAAGAAAATGATTTCCACATTGATTCTCCAAAAATTCCATACTTGAAGCAATGTAACAGAAATGAGAAGAGACGAGAAGTGCCCATTTAAATATAAATACTAGTGCTGGGCAATGATGAAAAATGTATTTAATTTTTTTTCACAATTAATCACATGATTTTCTGCGATTAATCACATTGTTTTGCACAAAATTCAATAATTAATTCAATTTTTTCATTTAAAAGTACTGCTATATGAACAAAAGGGCAATAACATTTGGTTTGCAAACACTTTAAACAAATAAGGTGCTTTTTATTACAGCAGTATTCTTATATTCCTATATTACAGCAGTTACAATATTTCTTGTAAATCTCAACTTAAACATTAATGTAATCAAATTAAATATAAAACCAAAGCTATTTGCCACTGCCAGGGCATTAACTTTAATTTATTATTAATTTATCTGGAATAGCCTTCCTGATAACGTTCGGGGTTCAGACACACTCTCTCTGTTTAAATCTAGATTAAAGACATCTTTTTGGCCAAGCATTCAAATAATGCATCTCATAATCTTGTACTGCAGTTATATCTGATCAGAATTCTTTAGTTTGGGTTAAACAAATCAATTTTGTTTGTTTGGAACAGCAGCTATGCTAATTATGTCTCTATTTGTGTCTCTGTTTTTGCCACGGGATGTAACTAGGATTTACACAAGCTTCAGTCTGGATCCAGAACACCTGAGAAGAGATGACGCCAACCATTCAGAGGACCTCAGATGATGCCAACCCTGAAACAACATACAGAACTACCACATTTTGCTATAAGTTTGATTGCATCATATAATAATTGCTGTTAATAGTGTTCATCGTCTGTTTGATTACGTCTTTAATTGATTTTTCCGTACATTTCTGCCATATGTACATTAACTGACAGTCACCACAGCAGTGTTCATTTACATAGTAGCAGTTAAAATATTTCTTGAAAATCTCAACTTATAACATTAATTTAATCAAATTACCAGGGCATTAACGTTTTTATAGAAAATATTTTATAGTTTGTTATAGAAAAACAAGCTATGCTCAGAGTCCAGAGCCTCGATCATAACATTATAACAGGCACCTTAGAGACCTGCACTATCGCGGGACCCAACGCAACAGAGTGCAACAACACTTGATGGGCGAGTGCGGGCAGGTAGAGATTTGTGTGTGCTGGATGCGGGAGTGTACGCACTCTAGGCAATCTTAACCGTGCCCGAGTGCGTTTGACCCCCAAAGCCTGGTTCGTTTGACTAGTGTGATTGCTCCGTGCCGTGCTCGGGCGCAATTCGTTTAGCCGTCCCTGGCTCGGTTGGAAGAGGTGGGCCAGAGCGTGGTTCAGTTGGGCTTGGGCGTGGTACGCATGTAGTGTGAGTGCTAACCGTGCGGGAGCGCGGAACTTCTGATACCTGCAGCACGATTGCGTGTATATATATATATATATATATATATATATATATATATATATATAGTGAGAGGGCCGTGTGTCACCGCGTCCCAAAGGACTCGAAACAATAAACCACAAAGTTAACAAAACGATGCACTCCACTGTGTTGAGCGAGAGCGCTTCTCTGCTGTCTTTACGTGCTAACGGAAACTTCCTGTTTGCCACTTATGAACTCGTGATTACAAGCACGTTCACAGCCAGTGAGCAACAGGCTTTCATAATAATAATAATAATAATAATAATAAACTGCGTTAATGCGCGATAAAATAATTGTTGGCATTAATTTATAATGTGTTAACTTGATAATAACGCGTTAACTTGCCCAGCCCTGATAAATACATAAGAGGTATGTATATGTATAAATGATACGTAACTTATTTAATGTTACATAATTGTTGTGGATTTAAAAAAAAGTGTTGCAATTTTTATGTAACTATAATGTGTAAATATGATCTGATCAATTCAATAATACCACCTGTCATTTGCTTTAAAAAGAAAAATAATCTACGAACCAAGCTGCTTTTTTCTATATTACATCATGTGACTTACAATGTTTCTATTAAATTTTTATCGTGTTAAAGTCACATGAATTCATATTAAAACAGTAGGCTGCTTTTATCCTTACGATGGAGTAACTTTCTGGTAATGAAACTAATGTAATGTAAGTAAATAATTAAATAAATTAGCACGATAATATTGTGTATCAGCAATCTAACAGGCTGACGATAGGATATGACAATTGAGCATATCGCCCAACACTATTCTATATGCAATGAAAACACTCAATGATCACGAGATGTGAAGTCCAAAATAATAAAAACAATATAAAATAAAATAAAAAAATGAAATAAAATAAAAATAAATCTGCTAAAGGGCTGCAACGAATCAAAAAATTACTGTAACACTTTAGTATAGGGACAAATTCTCACTATTAACTAGTTGCTTATTAGCATGCCTATTAATAAAATATTGGCTGTTTATTAGTACTTATAAAGCAAATATTCTGTATGACCATATTCTACTTCCCTAATCCTACCCAATAGCTAAACTTAACAACTACCTTACTAACTATTAATAAGTAGCCAATTAGGAGTTTGTTGAGGCAAAAGTCATATTTAATGGTTTGTTAATAGCGAGAATTGGACCTTAAAATAAAGTGACCAACATTACATATTACAATTAAAATAATCAACTAAAAATGTATGTGACGATGGCACATTATAATAGTGAAAAACGTTAGAAATCCACACAATAATAACACATTATACAGAAATCTATTTATGCATTGTGCAAGATGATTAAAAAAATCAGATTAAATGAAAAAAACAAATAAATGAATCTACTGTACTATTAAAATGGTGGCCAGTTGCAGTTCTAGTTTAGGGCTGTTTTTAAAACAGTTTGAATGAGAGTGATGTTTAGGGCTCATTATAGGACGGATCTCAGTCACCAAAAGGGACACTTCAGGGATTCAGAGAATGACCGTTCAGCAATTCAACCTATTAACTCGTAAACACAGAAGAGAGTGAACGTAGAGAGGCAAAGGGAGGCATTTCTGAATGGCATTACACACTGTCTCGAGCTGCTTCATATTGCTTTGACTGAACTATAAATCCTCATTCCTCACCACACAGCACCAGGATACATATCTCAAACAAGCTGAGTCACATAGTGTCACCTGGACTTTCAGACTGCAACATCTATTAGCCAGAGGGGTCTAAAAAAGCTTGAGTGGGTGGGTTTCACAGCTCAGCGGGCTTCAGCGCTGACATCACTCCCTCTGAGACCGACAAAACCGTCTACACCAGCAAAGCCAGTCCGACCGACTGAACAGAGGAAGTGTCGTTCACAAACACACACTGTAAGACAATAGATGCAGCTGAGAAACAGACAGCACCATCATCAAGTTGAGAGGTTTTGGCATGATGTCAGCTCGTCTGTGCATCGGTTTTATGAGGATTGCAATTTCGTCTCCCTCAGCATTTTAGATGGCATGCAACTCAGGGTCAAGAAATGGGAATGTTGGGGGTCAAGCATTCTGACATATTACAATCCCTAACCATTTACAAGTTGAATTAATTAATATTAGCTATCATTGTTACATTCATCCCTATCTAAAATAGTGACAAGGTAACAACAGAGAAAAAATTAATAAATGAGAATTTAACAAACAGAGAGAGTAACAGGATGCTACAATCTTCTGCCCCAGTATACAAAAAACAACTTAACTGAAAAATAAGTCGATTTTAATTAAACATAAGAGAACAACAACAAGTTCTAAACTTACTAAATAACCTATGAAACAAAAAGGGGCAAAAAAAATAAACACTTGACATTAATGTTGACATTAATGTTAATTTACAAATATTTAACAGACTGTAAAGCCAAAGACAGGTAACAAAACAGATGACCTCGTAATGATACCAAAGACATTTCATTTCAAAGATCCATTTGCTGATGAGTTAATGAGGCACAGGTTCAGGTTAATGATCGGAGACAAGACCTGTAATCTCCCCCCATTAGCGGCGCCCCCATACTGTGCTCTGAATCAGGCCTGATGCTGACGCAGACCGTTCTGAAACCATTAGCTCTCCATAACTGCAGCCGTCAGTGTCCTCCTAATCACCTCTACAGCAAACTGACACAAAGCAGGATTTACATCTTCTTCTGGGATGGATTAATATGGGAATTTGTTTTAACCATCATTTTAATTCAAATCAGTTTACTTGGCATCCATCAAGTAAATGAAGAAAGGTTATTGTAATATTATTCCTCATAATTGCTTTATATCTCACGTTTTTTTGACAATTTCCATTAACTGTGATTTTATATCTCACATTATGAATATTCTTACATATATATAATAAAATTGGGGAAAAAAATAGTTTTAGTATTATTTAGAATTATTTTAATAAAATAAACATTATAGTATTTTATATTATATTTAGTGCTGTCAAAATTAGCGTGTTAACGCAGACGATTAATTTTTTCAGTTTAACACGTTAAAAATATTTAACGCCGTTAACGCAGGGGCGGGGCTAGTGTTGGTCACTGCACTCACAACTGCTGCCTCGGTCTCTTTTTTCTTGCAAAGAAGTGCATTTATTTAGTTGCAGAATGTCTTTACGACCACATCAAACCAGAGACGTTTCAGACGTGATCTCCAACTTCACTTCAGCGCCAGGCACGAGTCAAACGAGTGCGGAAATGGTACTGTGCTCACAGCGTGTGCTCTTCAATTGCACACACAAAGGTGCCGGCGCGCGCTGTAGCATGCATGTGCATTCAATGTTGTGGTCAGTTAAGTCATGAAGTTACCAAAAAGGTGATTAAAGCTGCCTTAAAACTGCATGCATGTAATATATTATAGATAAGTCGGAGTCACATGTAAGAACTCTGAAATGGTTTTCAAAACTGTCCTGGAGCAGCCCAGCAATGTCTCCCCCATCTAACACACAAATTCAATGCGTCAGTTCATTAATAGAGACTTTAAGACCTGAAGTGGGTCAGAAGCTATAGTGAATGGTTAAATATTAGGGGGGAAAACAAATTTTATAGAGACATCAGTAGTATTGGTACCAGTGATACTGGCCTTCAGTCATAAAAAAAGATGCCATTAAAGAAATATACTCTCTTTATGTTGTTTGTACATTAATTTGAAGATTGAATGTGAAATTACTGCAATATAAAAGTATAATTAAAATCTTTAATGTTAGGTGGGATTAATCGCGATTAATTTCAGAAATAAGTTTTTTATCGATTGACAGCACTAATTATATTATATTATATCCTATCATATCATATATCATATCAATCATATCATATCATATCATATCATATCATATTATATTATGGGTGTAACGATACACATTTTCATATTGAACTGTTCGGTACGAGGCTTTCGGTTCGTTACGCATTACAAACCAAATAATTCGTTGGACTAATTACATTTGGAAAATAAAAGAGATTAAAGTGTGTGAAATATAATGTTCTCTTGCTGGGTTGCGTCGAACGATGATGATCTTGTTTCGACAATTATAGCCAGAGATATTGTCAAAACCATCAATCATTGGCAATATTAAGAGGATCTGGCATTTACAATTAATGTAGACCGGTTATATTCTTGTTTTTTATTAGGCCTATTATTATTATGAAGTTACTTTTATTATTAATTTAAAATTACTATTAATTTGCCCTGCAATAATTACCACATAACTGACGCGCTGCGAGGATAACAAAAGCTTAGACTATTTACTCCTCAATTAGAATGTTTTTTTGTTTTTAAAAAAGGTATTTTAAAACAGGTCTATTATAGGCTTATAATTAAAATATTAACACTGCAGTCATCAATAAAATTCAATGAAATAAAAAGCTTTATTTCAAGCACTGACTTTAAAAAACAACCTGTTTAACATGAAATACGTTTTTCTCATTTTTTTCACTATGTACAAGCCACAAGAGAAATATTAAGGGAATAAATTAAAACAGTTAGCTATATACCGTTATCAGCATATGTTAAAGCAGATTCGTCTCTCGTCGTCTCTGAGAGAATATGCAGCATCAGATGCCGAAAGCTCCATCATTACTCCCTTTTACTTTCACTATCTGCATAGTGAATCGACTGAGATTAAGATGTTAATTATATTATATTATAATACTTGGGATTTAAACAAACTATAAACAAACCCTGTTCTGCAAGAAAATTCAGTCCAGTTTTCTTATGCGATTTGTCTGCTCAAACCAGCAGAAAAAACTGAATAAACAGCATACGGGGAAAATGCACTCTCTGACAGTAGGTGGCTCTTACAAGAAAATCAGGAATACTCCACTTAACACAGTACACAATGTGCAAGCTTGTCACAGGAAAGAAAACAAGATAAAACAGTATTTACGATTTTATTTTAAACAGCTGATTTGATTTTTCTATTTTCTATGCACTAATGCACCACCATGTCATAGTTTTAGGGTGCTTTCACACCTGTAGATCGATTGCTTTGTTCCGAAACAGGGATTACAATTATTACAATGTTGCTTTTTATTCTTGGTGCGGTTCGCTTTCACACGGCAAAGTTTCTAAACAGACCAAATTTGTTAATACAAGTCAAGCGCGAGTAAACTGTTCTCTCATTGGTCAAAGTTCCACGGTTTATTTTCCGGGATTCCACTGAGCTGTCACGGATGTCATCCGTCAGGATGGAACGACAACAGTTACGTTATTGTTGTTGTTTTTTGTAGCTGTCGTTATAATAATTTATCATTTTGAGCACGAGTCCAGGATTGATTGGGAAAACATTTTTAAAATGCACCTACTACAAAGAAGAGCAATAATAAAAAGTGCACTTTGATTTTTGAATGGCAAAGACGTGCTCACCCACAGACATTCACAGGTTCATTTTGAGGTATTAGCAAAACAACAAAGGAACTTTTCACGGAACTTCACGTAATTACCCATTATAAATTGTGATATAGCCTGGTTCGTTGGTCCGTTGGATCGGATTGCTTTCTCACTACTACCGAACCGCTCCAGAGTTTGTTTCCAATCGAGCCGAGGCCACCTCGTTCAGGCGATCTCGAACCGATTGTTTTGGTGCGGATCCGAGCGCGATTGCCGTGTTCACATATGCCCAAACGAACCGAGCTAAGGGGGGCAACTCGCCAGGTTCCGAAACAACAGGCCAGGTGTGAAAGCACTCTTATGTAACAGTAGTGACTCTGGGCATGTGACCAAAAGTGCGAATCTCATTGGTGTGATGGAAAATGGATTACAATACCTTTCCCTAAAAATAATCCATAGCATTTATGATATGCAAATATTTGAACAAACAAATTAAAATTAAAATGTTTTTACAAACACACACAAACCAAACAATTGGTGTTAACCAATACATTTAGTATGAGAAATAGTACCACTAGGCAGAGATGTTGTGATTGCTACCTCAGATGGAAAGAAGCACTTGTAGGTCACTGTGTAGGTCCAAACACATTAGTTCACTATTAAGGCCCAATTAATGCCTGTAGGGTCTCACTGATTCAGTTAACCGTGCTTTCATTTTTAACTACACATTTAAGGAATAACTTCACCCAGGCAGAATGTATTTTTCAGCCCCATCACAGCGAGACAGTGAAAGTGAAGTCTCCAGGGAAACCAGACCATGAGCTGAGTGAAGCGCCTCATTAGGAGTAAATCACATAAGTCTCCCCCTAAGAGCCAACAAGCCGATCACATGGTGCAGAGAAGGTCAGGAGGTCACGATGGACATTAATGAACTGAAGCGGCCTGGAAGGACATTCTGAGAATCAGTTCAGTATAGAGCTTCTACCAGCTGTCTTATGCTCAAGCGTGTTCATGTGAGTGTAAACCGACATACAGGGTCTAAAACTGGTACTAGAGTTTCATATAAAACCATCTGCATTGGGGAATATTGTTTTTGAAAGTAGAATGTTGCACTGCTATTTAATCGAGAGTCCCAACCATATCTAGGCACAACATTTTTAATAGGCACACAGCCAATATCAGCCTAACTCAAACACTGTAATATTATTTATCAATAATAAATATTATATAATATATAAATAATATGTATTTTAATATATTTAAATAATTATAATCTAATAATAATTTTATAAAATAAAATAAAAAGTCAAATGTAATATATATAACATGCACAAAAAAGACTGGCATAATTCAGTCACTTCCAAAAGATAATTGATTACACATGAAACTTGAGACCTGTGTGCCAAGGAATATTATCCATCCATTATGTATTGGCTGACGTGCATGTGTCTAAAAACACCTTGAGACAAGCACTGATAAATATGGTGCTGAAACACTGCCAAAAAGCAAAGAAAGTAACAGTTTATTGGCTTATAGTAATGAACTTACCCCTTTAACCCCTTTCAGATCTCCCTTCAGCAGACTGTCCAATGGGAAGGTAATGATGTTATTCATGTTCTGAAACTAGAGAGTAAAAGCACCACATTAGAAAAATCTCTTTCTTCCCAGCTGTGCAATTGTCTTTCTATAATTGCAATCAGAGATAAATAAAGATGAGAGGAAACAAAAAGGTCTGTTGCAGTGGGAGAGAAATTAGACGTTTAAGTAGTATTCATGCTAACAAGACAACATCCCAAATCATAAATTAGCAGCACTAGTAACTACTAAAACACATTTATGAAAGTTGATCCACCCAGTAGGCCAATGACTCCAGATCAGTTTTTTGGGCCCAGAGGTCCAAACACATTAACAGCTGAAGGTAAGATATCTGAAACCCATTTGCTCCATATAAAAATCACATAAATGCACAATAAATGTCCTCACCAGGTTCTTGAAGAGGGCTGTGAGCTCTTTTGTGAAGACTGAGAACTTCAGGAAGGCTGATCCCAAGTCAGGGTCATCTCGGTACACACAGTTCTCTCCAAACTTCTCCAGAGCTTGAGTGTACTGCTCCTCGTTCTCCACGTGAGCTACAGACAGAATGTCAATGTAGTTTATATCAACTTAAATCCAACAGTGCTTTAAAACATGGCTACTTTCATCAAATTAAAGGGATAGTTCACCCCAAAATT